CTTGCCAAAACTCATTTTTCCTGCTGTATATATTGACAGTTCACCATGTCAAACACTGCTCAAGGCTTTTAATTCAGCTGCTTTGTTTTTTGATTTTTTTGTATTATTTATATATTTAATATGCTAAAAAAATATAATCAGGATGTGGGCCTGTGTTTTTAAACTCATGGACAACTGTTTTTTTTCATAGATATGTGGTTCTCAATGGACAGCAACTACAATATGTGATTTGTAGAATATGATACTGGACACTGAACAGATATTATAATATTATATTAAATCTATAAAGTATTCAAAATTAATTCAACCAAAAGATATGTATTAACAATTGGGAACATTTTTCTGCAGAATAACAAATGTACTAAATGTTTTCATGGTGTTTTATTGCCTTGAAAAATTCATCAACCGCTTTAATAGGAAAACATTTATGTAAGATTAGATTGCAGAAAGGTGAAAACCTCCATGAGCAGTGTAGACAACCAGCATAAATAGTATGTTTTAATCTGATCTAATTTATCTTGAATTGCTAAATATTAGAGAAAAACGTTTTTGTTTGTGATTGTGGATGGGAGGGTGTTTAGTCTCTGCTTGGCTATCTGCAAAAGTAACTGCATGCCACTTGGTTTCATGTTGTATTATTTTAAGGAAGGCAACTTCACAGCAACACTAGAACATAGAGTAGATTCACATTTTCACATTCCTGTTAAATATTCTGTTCATCAAAACAATGTTAAAGTAAAATATTGAATTATAGATCACACACCTAAAGTTATTTTAAATTTAAAAGTAATTTTTCCTGTAAGTAATGTTCATAAAATCAGCAAACATGCAGAAAAGAAAACAACGGTAGAAACAGTAGCAGTTTCCACACAAAACCTCCATTTGAAAATAACACCGAACCAGATATGCAGCTTTGCCTTTGGCCGTGAGCAAGGGGGTAACACTGACTGATGACGGTCATAACCCAGCAACAAAGCAAAAACAAAAACAACCTACCAAAACAATTAAAGGACAAGACAATAATTGTTGGCTTTAGAAATGAAATTAGCTGAAGAGATAAAGCGAGTTAGATCCAGATGGGGATTTGAAGTAGATTTCTGTCAGCAAAAGTGGCAGCTTGAAAGGCTGTAGAACCAATTAGTGTGTGAGTGAGGAGGAAAGAGGGAGTGAAAATGGAGCTTAGAAAGTGGAGGAGGACATAAACATTAATCTAGACAGGTATGTGGGGGTAAAAACACTGCTGAGGGTATTGTAAAATAGGATGCGCTTTGCAGTGGATGTGTTTATTTTGTGACTATGACAAATCTGAAGGCAAGATAATATTTAGTGTAACTTTCACTGAGAAGTAGCAATATTGTAGTCAACCGAAGATGAATGCAAAGCACACATCAGAGTAAACAGACTTTCATATCCCAGAACCATCTGGAGTTCAGTCATATTCCCTACAGCATGATTTTTAGGCAAGCTGCAATTTTGCTTATAGCACAAGCTCTCTAAATCAGTTTAATAGATAAGGGAATGTTTCATAAACTGTAACATATCAACTGTTACAACTGGACTTAAATGACAGAGAAATATATAGTTGCTTACACATGATAATGAATTGTGGCTTGTTTGTGATTGCGTCTATATTACAGCTTTGTGGAAATTGAACCATACCCCAGTACTGACGACACTTCATTGCCTCCAATATTCACTTACCTTTAAAATTGTGTAATAATAAGTCTTTTGTGTGTTTTCCTAGTTTATTATTTATTTATTTATTTATTTTATTGAGGTGCATGATATATAACATTAACAGGTTAGTACAATTGTACTATCAGACAGGATTGTGTAAAGGCACACATATAAGGAGGGACACATGGAAATTTGTGCAGCATTAAAAGCACCCAAAAGTACAGGTAAGATTTAAGACTTTGGAACTAGCGATGAATCCAGTGAGATTCGGAGCTCCTTTGTGGAGACAGGAGAACCTTACAGAAGGACAACCTTCAGTGCATCACTTCAACCATCAGGCCTTTTTGTTAGAGTTGGCAGAAAACCCATTCTTTACTAAAAGGCACATAACAGCCCCCAGGGAGTTAGCTAAAAGACATCTGAACAGCTCTCAGACCATGAAAAGCCAAAGCCGCAGGTTTGATGAAACAAAGGTGGCCTTTGGTCACAGTTCCCAAGGGCATGTGCAGAGGACAATCAGGCACCGAGAATCACCTCATAGGATTTTTTCCCCCCACAATTGCTTTGTCTCATTCTGAAAGCTTTTTAAGTACAACTGTCAGAGCTGTATCATGGGACATGACAAGTCTATTGTGTGTCTGCAAGCAGTAGTCGATCTAGTTATTGTTTCACCGAACTAAAAAATGCCTCTAATTGTTTTTCAATGCTTTAACAAAAATAAACTTTGTTCTTCTTGCTGATACTGATTGCTTATTGTACAGTATACAGGTGAGTTTTGTCCAGCTGAATGACATTCAGTATCACACTGGTATTTTTAGATTCTCATTTTAAACTGGGAGACAATTCATGAGAAAATTCCATGCTCTACAGTATATTAATTACAGATAGGCATGAACAATAGTATATGAATCCTAGCTCCAAGATTAATGTTATCATTTTATTAATGAGCCACTGGCTGGCCCATTAATAAATGACAACTAATGTGGCTGCAGGATAATCGCTAATAGTTAAACGGCTAAGATTAACATTTGCACCGGTCTGGTTAATAACTGTTTAATACTTTAATCTTGTTGAAACATGAGCTCCACTGACCTCTAGAACTTCCTCAAAGTGTCCTTCAGTGTTGTGAATGGTGACTACTTCAGCTGCTAGTGAGGGGAGGGGCTTCGTGCGTCCTGTCTGCAGATGCTGTGTGAAATTGTGTCAACTGGAAGAGGTGAAGATGGCACTGTTGGTGTGTTACTGCTGCAAATAAGTAAGCCAAGAAAATAAGCCAAGATTTTTTATTTACTTATTTATTTTTGCACTGATTAGTATTGCACTGATCAGAATCAGTCATTCATATGTAACACGTGCACTTCTTCTGCAAAAAGCAACAGATTGCACCTCCAAATAGCCTAAAATTCCACAATTTGTCATATTTTCGATGGACATCTGTTTCTCTTATTAATAATGCATATATGATGTCTTCCCTCACAGTGGACCAGGGAAGAAGTCTCCTTCCATGGTGAAACCATACCCTAAAATAACTTTTCAGTGTCCTCACCGCTAGCATTCATGGTGTATAACAAATGATGTTGTGGCTGGTGGTTGCATACTTACCAACATCATGCTAAAAAGAGCTCCTCTCTCATATTTTATTCACAACAGTGGAAGGAACTTGGTAGAAGTTAACATTATCCAACACAGTTACATAATTTTGTATTTAGTGTTCTCCCACTGGGGTCTCTTTAGGTCAGGTTGGGTGTTATAGGGATGTGTAGAAGTACCAGCCATAAACATGGCAGAATACATTGGTTTGATATGTCAGTCAAAATGGTATCCATCAAAGCTCAGCTGAGAGGATGCAGTAATGTTCACATGCTGGATGTCTGTATGTCTGTCGCTAGCATGAGCCTGTTGTCACTGGAAAATGGATGGATGCAGACTGCCAATCGATATAGTTCAATATATAGAAAATAGTTCATGCTCACAACAAGGTTTGCGTATTTTTTTATATCCACTTTTATTTCTGTGTGAATGGTCCTGTTAACTTTTACACCGATAAACAGTTCTTAATGCCATTAGTCACTTGTCAGATGCAGCACTTATTCCACTTCAGCCGTCAGGGCCTCTATTCCAAACACTACCAAGACGATGTTGTGTGATCTGGTAGGAAGGCTTCTGTCCCCCTTGTAGCCTGAAAGATTGTCACATTTGAAGGTTTATCATAGATCACCATGTCCTTCTCACATCATGTCAGCAGGCTACAAACTAAAGATTAACCTAATGATGTAGTATTCCCAAACAGATTGTTCTCCACCTTAGCTTTGATGGATAAACCGACCATTCTCGTGTTAGACTATCGCCGGTCAGCACACAACGGTGAACTATGGAGATAGATATTCTTACTTTTCATACTCTGTATTTCTCTGGTAAGTGGTTAACCTCATGAACCTGTTGTAATATGCATTAGTTCGTGCTCTTCATACCTTTATCGTGTCACTGAGATCACTGCTCTTCTTTCTCTTTAAATTTTAAAAAACTGTTAACTGAACAAAGTCATCCTCAACTAAAATAATAGGGATCACTCCATATAAGGCCACTTTTGCAGCTGTTTCCCAACCTGCCAATACCCCCTAACTTTTTCTGCTAATGTTTTTGCATTTTGTTCTTTTGGTGTGTTTTTTTTCCTATTTATCTGCTTCTCTGATGTCTTTCTGTTGTTTATCTTGATGATGTTGCCTTTTAATTACATGTGTTATGTTTATATAATGCCCATATGCTTGTATGTGTGTTCTTATGGTACATAACTAGTGGTTAGTTAAAATGGTTTCAAATTTGTGCAGGTGCCCTTTTAGCTTTTGATATTTCTGCCATCAAATGTTCTTAACATCTTGTCAGGTTTTAAAAAAAGGTAAATAAATATAATAGTTAAAAAACACAAAAGAAACCAAAAGAATCTACCTGGAGAGAGTTGAAAAAGGCTGACCATCCAACCAATCAGGTTAAGCTTTGAACAATTCTATCAAGAAAATCGATGGGTTAGACTTGTTAGATAAATCCACACGAAGTCTGATGCTCTAACTGCAGCCAAAGATGCCTAAGTACCTACTAAGGAATGCACTTAGCAAAACACTTCGAAGGTCTGTTTGTGCTTTGAACTGGAGTACAGTGTCTGAGGAAAGATATTAATTTTACATTTCCATTACAAGATAAACCTGTATCAAAATCTTGAAAACTTAACCCCAGATGTCATCCTGTAGCTTTTTATTTCTCAGTCGGCAAACCCTAAATGTATACAACATTAATAAAGTATTTCTTTCCTTTTGCATATTTTGCAGGGCCCATTCTCGGCCTTTGTCACTCACAGCTAATGGATGTCTTTACCCAGTATGCCTACAATGACAGTTTCTATGATAATGGAACATGGAGCTTCAACGATACAGCCCAAGAGCAGAAGCACCCCTACAACTACTACGCCATGCTGCTTACTCTGCTCATCTTCGTCATCGTCTTTGGCAACGTGCTGGTGTGTATGGCTGTGTCCAGGGAAAAGGCTCTGCAGACCACCACAAACTACCTGATCGTCAGCCTGGCTGTCGCTGACCTTCTGGTGGCCACACTTGTTATGCCCTGGGTCGTCTACTTAGAGGTAGGATTGTAGAAATTCATGCACACACACACTCTTTGCCTATATTCGAAGAGACATATAGCCTGACATGACCTATGCAACAGACATGCTCTTTTATTTCTTTTTCTTAAACCTTTTTTTCCCCTCTGCATCCCAGGTTTTCAGAAAGCAGAAAATTGCCATCTTAAAAAACAGTATTTAGTTTTCTTTTTAAATCATTCTTTTTAGAAAGGGGTTAAAAAACTGGAAAGGGCAGGACTTTAAGTGAAATTGCATGCCAGTAAAATAATCTTGGTGAAAAGGATTTGAGCCAAACAGTCACCCACAGTTAACTACAGGTCACAGGGTCAAGGTGATACAAAGGTGAAGACTAATGTGTTCACATCAGTCCTGCAGTGGATAAAGGCCTGTAATGTAGTCCCACTATGTGACAACAGCAAAATGTCAGAGGAGTCTATTTGAACAAGAGCTGGATGTTAGGCTATAATTCACCCAAATACTGGGCTACATCCTTTCTCATTCAGAGAACTGCTGCTTTTGTTTTTTAAATGAATTATGGTACATCATTTAAATATAACACATCGGAATCACATTTTTAAAGAGAAGGCAGACTTCGATGTTTCATAATATCATTCATATCCTGCCAAATCACTAGTGAGTGGGATGTGGTCGGTCTTTTTGAAAAATCTTTGCCCATCTCTGGAAGCTACCTCCTTCATCCTGCGGTTATTTCTGACCATTAGGCTTTAGGTCACGCTGTCTGATGTAGAAGAAAAAAGCAATCTAAGACTGCGGGGACTTTAATCCCCTCGTGTTTCTCAGAAACTCTTGATGATTATCACTTTAACCAGATTATAGTGCATTTAAAGAATTTCATAGTACAACTCTTTCCGTATGATCTGGGCATATTTTTTTAAATAAACAAAGTAATATTTTTGTGGTCATTGCCAAAAACAATCAGATTAAAGCTCGTTCATGCATAAATTATCCAACCTGCGCATTCTGTTTGTTTTTATCCAAATTATTTACTTGTTGTCTCTGTTGATTTGGCCAGCTGGATACATGCAGAGGGAGCCTACATCAAAGCGGATCGCATAAGTGGGAGATGAATTGTAATCAGCAACGTATCAAAGCCCACAAATTACAGCATAAAACTTTATCAATAAAAGATAGCATTTGATATCAGAAAAGTAAGTCTTTGATGGTGTAAAGGGATTTAACTGAACAAGTGTGCGTTACTAAGTGTAACACATTTGAAGTACGGCGAACACTAAAACTACTCCGGATCTTTCATCAAATATAAGTCACAGCATGCTTTTGGACAAAAATCTGACTGTTTGCTGTTCCTCTATAGGATCTGTTGTGTGCAAACATAACATCAGATTACAAAACACTCACCGAGTAGTTGGCTGCTCTTGTTTCTCCTGATGCCCCACACTTAGTTCTGGCTCTACACATCATAAATGTGGTTTGGCAAAATTATTCATGTAAATCTATAGGAATCAAAGTCTAGCTTAATAGGATTATTATTTTACTTAGCTAAATGTTTGGTGTCTGTGTTTTCCATTCAATCTACATCTCTTACAGTTAAATGGGGGGGAAAGACCCACATGAGCAGTTTGGTGCATTAAGAAACAGATTTTTTCAATTTTATAGCCATTTAATCCAAACAGGCTAATAACAGCTATTTGGAGAGTGAAGTCCTCCTTAGAATAATATGCTGGGAAGCAAGTGGTGGCTGTTTGTCAAAGTCAAAAGGGATTACTTCCCAGCTTGTGTTTAGAGTGGGATGCTCATCTGATTCTGGTGTGTCCCTCCCAGGCTGTCAGGCCTCGTACTAATGTGAGATGGGATAAAGTGAGACACTAGTAGTTGGTCTGCTAGAAATCCTTACAAATAGGAAATTATTTGGAACTGCTGCACAGTTCACATCATTTTGAGGTAAACACCAGACAGTTTCATAATCTCTGGATTTGCGTGTTGAGTGAAGATGGCCTTATATGTTCAGAGCTCACAACGGAGGAATTTAGGCAGAGATTTGTCAATTATTCAACTCACGTTCTTCATAACATCTTTCTTCCATCACGGACACCATCTGAAATTAGGCTTTGTTTCAGATGATTAAAACAAACAAACAAACTTCATGACAATACTTACAATATTGTGTTTGTTTTGTTTTGTTTTTTGCTGAACTCGGAGAGGCCGTTCTTCGAGTCTCATCTTTCCTTTTTGTTCCTGTTTTTCTGTATTCATGTGTAGGCACTGAATTTTTTTATAATGCCACTGACTCAGGTCATCACGTAACTCGTGTATTAACTTGTGTTAAGGATGTAACAGCATGAACTACAGTGGGAACATAGTCACAGAGTGTGGGCAGGTTATTCAACTTGCCCTTTATTATTAAATACTAAATTTGCATTAATTAGTGCAGGTTTCGCTTTCTGCCTAGTGTGACTGATTTAGAAAGCGTACGGAGGGAACATTTTGCATAACTAGAAGTTGAGAGTTAGTTTAAAGTAAGGGTGAATAAAAAGTGTATATAGTAGAATATTTGCTTTCAAGGTGTTGCCTCATGTCTTTATAGCATCCACACAGCAGGCAGATGTTTGAAAACTACTGCAAACCAAATGGCTCATAAATGTAATCAGTGGAAAATATTCATCATGCCAAGAACTAAACCTGTTAGTCTATTACCTTGGAGTGCATAATTGGCGATCAGCTGCAGTGACCTGGTCAGAGCCATGAATTTAATGAAGAACAGTGTTGCACAAAAACTGCAGGAATAAACACCCGCCTTACCTGCGGAGGCAGCTAATGCTGTAGTTTAAAT